GTCCAATCTCTTCTTAAAAATCTCCTGTGTTGGAGCACCCACAATTTCTGAAGATAAGCCATTCTACTGGTTGATTGTTCTCACTGTAAGGAAATTTCTAAGTTGCTTCTCTCCTTGATTAGTTTCCCTCCATGGTTTCTTATTTTTTTTCAGATGCTTTGGAAAATAGTTTGATATTATCAATAGTTTGTGGCAGTCCCTCAAATATTGGAACACTACTATCATATCTCCTCTGGGCCTTCGTTTTGTTAGACTAGATGTACCCAACTCCTGAAACCATTCTTTATATGTTTTAACCTCTAGCCACCTTATCATCTTTTTTTGTCTTCTCTGCATTATTTCCAGAGCATCAACATCTTTTTTATATTGCAACCAAAACTAGATGCAGTATTCCAAGTGTGATCTTATTAAGGCTTTGTAAAGCAATAGTAATCCTTCACACAATCTTGATTCTAGAAGGATCTTGACAGAATTGAACACTGGGCCTTATACAACAAAATGCAACTCAGTTCTGAGAAAACTAAGCTTTACATTTAAGGAAGAAAAAAAAAGCACAAGTATAGAATAATTAGTAACTGGCTCAACAGCAGTAACTATGAGAAGAATCTAGGAGTCCTAGTGGACAATCACTTAAATATGTATGAGTGCTTTAGCTGCAAAAACAACAACAGTGCTGTATCAACAGAGGGATAGCATCAACATCAGATGAAGTGGTAGTACCGCTTTATACTATGTTGATAAGACCGTTGTTGAAAAACTGCATTTAGTTTTACTTACCATAGTACAAAAAAAAATATGTTGGGATTCTAGATGGAGAAGAGTAGCAAAGATAATTAGGGATCTGGAGATTAAACCATATGGTGAATGGTTGTAGGAACAGGAATTGTCTAATCTAATGAAGAGAAGGACTAGGGATGACATGATAGCAGTCTTCCAATATTTGAGGGGATATCACAGAGAAGAGAAGGTCAACCTATTTCCCAAAGCACCTGGGGGCAAAACAATGGGTAATGGATGAAAACTAATCAAGGAGAGAAGCAACATAGAATTAAGGAGATATTTCCTTTCTGGGAGAACAATTAATCAGTGGTTTGCTTCTAGAAATTGTGGGTGCTCCATGACTGGAAGTTTTAAGAAGAGACTGGACAGCCATTATTTGGAATGATATATGATCTCCTATTTGAGCAAGGCATTGGATTAGAACCGTGATGGTGAACCTATGGTACATGTGCCATAGGTGGCATGCATAGTCAAAACAGGGGCACGCGAGCTCAGCTCCAGTGCGCATGCGCGCACCAGCTATCTAATTTTCAGGCCTTTGGAGGGCCTCCGGAGGGGTGAGGAAGGCCATTTTCGCCCTTCTCAGACTCCTAGAAAGGCTCTGGAGGCTGGGGAGAGCAAAAAAACGGGCCTACCGTGCCATTGCATGCCAGGAGTGGAGGGGGTTGTGGGGGGTCGTGCACGCAGGCACATATAATTATGGGTGTGGGCACGAGCGTGCATGACCCCACCCCACCCCGCTCCTGGCATGTGATGACAAAAAGGTTAGCCATCACTGGACTAGAAGATCCTCTATCTTTTTCAACTGTATAATTCTGTGATTCTTTTTCATTTATAACAATTAAGTCAGATAAAAAAAACATCATTTGAAAATAAAGTGGCATGAACATTTAGCTGCTGAGTGACCAATCTTTTTTTCCTCATGAATCAAAATACAATAAGACTTTAGTGTTCCAACACCCCCTTTCCCCTCCCCCGGATGATTCTCTTTAAAATTATTTGCAACAGTTCCAAAAGAAAGAACAATTGCAGCCTATGTTTGTCAGATTTCTGTCAACATTATTTTAGCTACTTCTCCACTGAGTTCAATACCTCCAGATTTTTTTTTTAAAAAAAGAACAGTGATAGATGATACTCAGGATCAATTATGTCAACCAGTGTCAGTTACTGTTAGAGTGATAGGAAAATTCTTTGCAGGGAATTTGGATTAATTAATGTTTGGAACAAGCCATCTTAGTTGGTTGCCTACATCAGTAAAGATTCTGAACGGAAGTAAACCAAAAGCTGTCTTTAAGTCTATGTTAGCACTGTGTATCTGAGACATCTCCTTATTCTGGAATCCTTACATGTGTATGGGTATGTTACCAGTTTGCCTCAGATCAGGCAAACCAGTAGCGGCAGGAGGCTCTGCCCACCCGCCCGACGCTTCTGCGCATCACAGAAGCATCACACATGTGTGTGAGTGCGCGAGCACCCATGAGCGAATCAGTAGTGATGGGATTTGCAACCCACTACTGGTTCACATGTATGTATATTTGATGCACAATAATTAGACCCTCAGTGTCATTTATCTCAGCTGTTGGAGTTTTCTAAGGCCTCAGATTTGCCTAGAAAAAGTACTTCCTTTTAATTTTTTTTAATAGTGGGTGTGGAAAACAAAGATAACTTTGAGAAGCACAATCAGTTCTAGAAGAAAATTTCTATCACAATGGGAACTAAAATCTAACTAGTGGCCTAACAAAGAACTTAATTATGTTAAGGAATTAAGGAGATAAATTCATACCAGTTTGCAGGAGTGGAGAAACAGGTGTGTTTATTTGATTGCTCTGAGGATCCTCTCAGGTCATTATTTGACATTGCTTGCATAAAACTTGAAAATAAAAATCTGTTTTGCTTATTTAGTCCTGGATTTCTGAATAACAAGTGTTTCTTGTATATGAACTATTTTTAAGTTGTCATACTGAACACATGAGTTCGTCTACTGGGATTCATTTCCTGAACTCTCAGTATTTAGGAATAATCTCTTGGGATTTAGCTTTATTTACTGTGACCTTACTACAACAAAATGATTTGAATCTATCTTCTTGCATGAATGGATAGCTCTGAACTTCTTACTATCTGATTCTTTGGATTTGGAATGTATTGTATTGTCAGCTAAGGGTCCTCTTTTTCTGTTAGAGTTCAATTGTGGTACTGTTTGAAAAGGAGAACCATTCTGTTTTCTTTTTTTAAAAAAGGAACTACCATATTTTTTGGAGTATATGATACAGTTTAGTTTTTGGGGAGGAAAATAGGGGGAAAAAATCTGCCTACCAGGTATTCATCTGGCTAGCGTCCTTAATCTGGTCAGCTTCAACACATTAGTTTGCTGGTTTTTTATCCCATGCTTGGGGATAAAAAACAGCTTCTAAGGCATAGCTGAGAGGAAGCAGCAATGAGAAAAGCAGGCAAAGCAGGGGGGCAGGGAGATAGCTTCACTCGGCTAGCGCCTAGTTAGGGCTGAAAAAAGGCTTCTAAAGAACAGCTGAGAGTCGGAGCAAAGCATGGAGATCACTTCACTCGCTAGTGCCTCATTAAAGCACAGTGGAGAGTCGAGGGAGCAAGCAAAGCTGGGAAGATCGCTTCACTCGCTAGTGCCTCATTAGCACCTCCTTCGGAAAAGCTACATTCGGAATATAAGATGCACCTCAATTTTCAGCCTCTTTTAGGGGGGGAAGGTGTGTCTTATACTCCGAAAAATATGATATTAGAAATTCCCATTTCTTGTGAATCATCTAAAGAGAGATTTGCAGATCCTGAACTACTTCTTAGCTATCTAGAACATTTGTAAAGAGATAGATTATTGGTTTTGAACATTAAATTATCATTATATAGTTGTCACAAATGGGCTAAACCAAGAATTAAAATAGCACTAGGTTTTTCAGAGTTCACAGGTAACTCAAAAGCATATGTTCAGGTAACTGAAAAAAAATTCAGAAATTCCTCTTCATTTTATTCAACTTTGAAGAAAGAAGAATATTCTAATTTGCAATTTTTATTTCAAGCTGTCAAAAAAACAAATCCCTAAAATAAACTGCTTTTGTTTCAATTATACAAATAATAAGTTGTATTACCTTTTTTTTTTAATACTTTCATATATATATTGATTCCTGGCAACTTTCCTAGATAAGTCCCTGCAGTTTTCTTAGCATGATTTTGGAAGCAATTTGTTGGCTTCCTAGGGCTGAGGTAAAGTGACTGATCCAAGGTCATCCAACTAACTGGCTTTATGCTAAATAGATACTGAATCTGGATTGTTTATATTACTCACTTTGTTTGTTTATATGATTAACATAATAACCCATCTCACTTTTACAGTTTGCTTAGAATAAAACAATTATATTATATTTTGGAAAATTGGGTATTGTGAATATGCCATAAATCATGAAGTGATTTATTATTTTTTGTTCAGTGAACAAGACAGGAAGATTTTCAATCTGATATTGTTCATGGTATACAGTTCCAGTGGCAGCGTGGAAGCTTCCGGTGTTAATATGGCTTCCAAAGCTGACAGACGTAGATGGGGGAAGGAATTCAATTGTACCAATAAGATGCCATGCTTTATTAATTTGGCCAGAATTCATCCTTAAGTGAAATTCATGCGATGTAGACCATATTCCATTTTTTAAAAATATATTTATAATGCCAATATCCTTACTTTCTCCTAAAGTTAACAGTAGTCCCAAATCATCACCAGTAACAGCTTATAGTAGATGAGCCCATGTTATCTTTTGAAATAGATGGAACTATGCACTTCTAGGACTTACTTTGGCAAATCAAAGTTAGTGCTGTTTAGAACTGAATAAAGTATCTGTATTTCAAACATATACCATATAAGAATGGTTTATTCTTAGATGTTCCTCAGATGTTCAAAGAGAAAGATTTTACCTCTGGGCATTTGATTAATGATAATGGGCTATTGCATTCATATGTAAATAAGTATAGTAGAAAAATACTTGGTTGCAAATTTAATAAAAGGACTTTCATGGGGATGTCAATAAAATATAAGCATTTTCAAAGAATTGAAACTGATATTTGTTTGACAAGCAACATAATATTTCACATCCCATTAGGTGAGTGCCATCTTATACCGAGGACATAATTTCCTATGTCAATAATGGAAATTTTACACAATTTTTGATCATTTTGACAAGTTAGAATTTTTATTTTGTTATTAACAGGTTTGGCAAACATCGAAAAGATGACAAGATTGAGAAAATAAAAATGCAGGGAGCTGTTACTTCAGAAGAAGAGAGAATACGTATGAAACAAGAACAGGAGAGGTAGACTTTAATCTTTTACTTAACACTTAGTGAATCTTTGATATTTTTAGGTGCAGTATTTTAATTCCTCTTGAATACATTTTGGGTCAAATGACTTAAATACATATTTTCTAGATCTCATGTAACTTAATAGGAGGAAGCAAAATTTATATCAAACATAACAATAATGACTATATTCAGAGGATGATATGGTAACAAGGCATCAATTTAATTTTTTTCTTTAAAAAGGCAAGTGGAACTATGAAATAGATACCTTGTTACTATATCATCCTCTGAATATTCATATTATTTGTTTGTACTATAGCTGATTTTGAGACAGTTATGAAAATATAAATATTTCTGTAACATTGAAATACATTTTGATACTTTTTTGCCCAAATCTTTGCAATATCTTTGCATATCTTCATTTGTTGCAAGCTGATTTTTATATCGTGTCGTAATTTGGATTTTAAAATGCTGGAAATATTGTCACTGGATGTCTTTTTTTCCCCTTGTTGTCCATGTGCAGTGTGAAATACTTGGCTATAAATAACAAGTGTTTCTTGCGGCAATGGTTTCCTCCAGATTTTTTATTTTTATTTTGTTTATCTAGTTATATGTAACTTTTTGCTTAGTTTTCCAGTAGTCAATAACTTGTATTACTGATTTATAAACATCCTAGTGTGAATAGAGAACAGCCTTTTACCCTGTGCTTTCACTTCATGCATAGATATTTTGCAGATAGAAGCTAGAGAAACTTAAATAGCTGAGGATTTATGAATCCATTCACGTTCTTGTGGATTTATATGTAAAGTTGCAACAGTAATATTTGTTTCATACTTATAATGCACATGTTTGAACATAGGATTTACAATAATATTCTGTCACTATAAGTACAATATAAAATATAAATATAAAAACAAAATTAAAAATCCAAACCAAATCTGATGATTAACTTTATTAACCATGATTAACTTTATAATCATATAGAGTTACAACAAGCAAAATCCTAAAATGATACATTTTATATTTTTGAAAACATGTAATTGAACCCATTAAAAATCAGGTTCATACAAATCTATACTCATTAGACTTTGAAACTGATAAAGAAAAAAAGAATCAAAATTCTTCATCCCAGAGCAGCAATTTCAGTTGAAAACAAGTTCCTAGATGAGCTTACAAATGCATGGTGAGTTTTCCTTGGGAAGTTCTTCTACATTTGCTCATGATATGCTTGTTACATGGTAACTTCTTAGAAGGAGTTCTTTTTGGTTTCTCCTTGTTTTTAATGGCATAGGTCATTTAATCTCTTTACTTGTTCTTTAGATTGCTATACTTTTAACAATGAAATACACTGGGGGACCAGATTGGGTGTAATGAATTTACTGTGTGTTGCAAAAATGCAACAAAAATCCACAGGGTCAGAGAGTAAGTAGATGCTCCATTAAAAAATCAATCAAGGCCACAATTATATAAAATTATTCTACCCTGACTCTATCATTTTAATAGTATTTTGCTCGCATAGTATTTTGCTCTAAGCTTTGAAAGTATTTTGTTCCCATTGATTAGAAGCCAAGCAAATTAATGTCGCTTACTTTTCCATTGAATGAATTGAATTGAATAGAGAGACTGCTGTTTGGTTCAGAACCCATATCTTCACTATGAATCTTATAAAAAAACAAGAATTTCCTCAGTTGTTCCTGATGTGTTATTGCAAACCAAAGGAATTTTCAATATAATTGCTTAGATGTGCAATAACAAGTTTAACAAAGTAAATATCATATACATCTACCTTGTAAGCATACTTTACTGATATAATAATCTCGTTCATGCTAAGAACAAATATATATACATTTATATCATGTAAATATACTTTTAAACAAGTACAAACTATTTTAAAAATGTGTTTTAAAAGTTGGTGTTTCTATTAAGAATCAATCAAAGCCATTTGTTACTGTAAGTCTGTCACTGTTAAATTGGCAGGGGATGTACTGTTAACTGTTGAAAATAACTGTTTTATCAGTTATTATTTTGGAAAATATTAAACTCAAATATTTTTGCTATGAAGTGGGTGTGCAGGAACAGTGCTCACGCATGTAAATTTCACATTCTATTAAATGCCATTTCTAACCATTTTAATATTAGAACTGTACAAATAGTTACAGTGACTCAACAAACATTCATTTACCGTGTTTTCCCCAAAATAAGGCCCTGTCTTACATTTTTTGAACCCTGAAATAAGCGCTTGGCCTTATTTTCAGGAGAGGTCTTATTATTTGGAGCTCATGGAGAAAGATGGGGCTCCTCTTGCCATCTTACCTGATTTCCACGTCTGTCTCCCTAATCTTAACCTGAGGAAATGGCAGGGATGGCTGCCCATGTGCTTAAATATTTTTGGGGAGGGCTTATTTTGAGTGCATGCGCTCAAAAGCCGAATTGGGCTTATTATCTGGGGAGGTCTTATTTTTGAGTAAACAGGGTAGTGGCTGTTCAAAAAAGTAACATGACTGTTTTTCAAAGTTATGACTGTTTCAGTAGCCCCATCCATGGTCATGTAATCAAAATAATGGCATTTAGCGACTGGCATATATTTATGATGGTTGCAGTGTCCTATGGCCATGTGACCTTTTGCAATCTTCAGACAAGTAAATGTAATGGGGAAGCCAGTTTCCCTTAATACTCAAGTTGCTAATGTAACTTTGCAGTGGTTTACTTAACAACTATGACAAGAAAGGTTGTAAAATGGGGCAAAACTCACTTAACAACTGGATTCCATAGCAATGGAAATTTTGGGCTCATTTGTGGTCATAAGGGGGATCTGTAATGAAATTATTACATATTGATACATATGCGCATCTTGATATTTTTTCTCAATGATGTCATAAGAATGATTGTGATTATCATCAAATCTGTTTAAGATTGATATCTAAGCAGCAATTTTTGCGGGCTTGAATGCTAAAGAACTTTAGCAGTATCAAAGTATAATGGCTTCCTTAAGGAAGGCTTTGAAAAAGAGAGTTGAAAAGTACATGAACTTAACGTTCTAAACAATTGTTACTTTCATTTTGCACAGATTATAATTCCCTTAGGTGCATGCTTTAGTTAAATAATTTAAAACAAAATATGTGTGTAATGTAGGTGTGTATGTTTCATTATTTGCCCTTTGTATCTTATTTTAGAATCTATAGCATTTAGTTGCCAATAAATAGCTCCAGCAGAATATACAAACCTGAATGGCATTATCTGCAGAAAGGCTTAGATTTTGAAGATTCTGCATCAGTCTTTAGAAACTAAAATACTTGTGTGTATGCACAAAATGCCAATGTTCTTTGGCATTTGTTGTTTTAAAACAGCATTGTATTTTGCATTCATGTTTAATAGATTTCATGTGTTGCAATCTTGCTTATCTTTCTCTGTGCTGTTCACAATTCCCAAACCAGAAGGGGGCACTCCCCACACTAGTTTTGCAGTAGATCTTTTACATTCCTTCCATAATAATGGAAGCAGAAGCTGAAATATTCCAAATGGAATGTCTAATTCACAGATTGAAAGGAATGACTGAAATAAATACTTAAATTTTTATTTACTAAGTAAGACCTTCATTTGTAAGTGAATGCTCAATTTTATGAAAAGACATTGAAAATTATTAAGAACATTGTAGGGGGTCTACTAAACCACTTATAATGTGGTGCTCCAAAAATAATCAAACTCTTTAACAGAAAAATGATGAACAAAAAAGTTCCACTTTGGTAGGAGAAAGAGTGCTGAGTAATTTTTTAAAAAATATTTGTCCTTTGTGTACGCACAGACACAGACACACAAAGAAACATAAATTGAACTTAGTTTGATCTCCCATTCTCAACTGGGTTTGTGAGAGATTTCTAGGAATTGAACAAGGGATTATCATTGTTTATTCATGCATCACACAATGCTAGCTAATTTTTAATTTTTATGCAGAGACTTTCTGAGACCTGAAAATTATTCCAAAGGTATATCCAGAGTAAAAAAAAAAAAAAAAAACCTTAAAAAGGTTGGTTTCGACTAGGGAAATGTATGAATTCAAATGTGCTGCTTTATAAAGCCTTAATAAGACCACAGTTACCCAACTGCATCCAGTTTTGATCACCATATTATAAAAGAAGTTGTAGAGACTCTGGAAAAAGTGCAGAAGAAAGCAACAAAAATGATTAGGGGTCTGGAGGCTAAAACATATGAAGAATGGTTGCTGGAATTGGGTTTGTCTAGTCTAGTAAAAAGAAGGACTAGGGGTGACATGATAGCAGTGTTCCAATATTTGAGGGGCTGCCACAAAGAAGAGGGAATCAGCCTATTTTCCAAAGCATCAGAAGGCAAGACAAGAAGCAATGAACGAAAAGTAATCAAAGAGAAATCCAACCAAAAACTAAGAAGAAATTTCTTAACAATGGGAACAATTAACCAGTGGAATAGAAGTGGATGCTTCATCAGAGGAGAGTAGGCAGCCATTTGTCTGAATGTATAGGGTCTCTTGCTTGAACAGAAAGTTGGACTAGAAGACGTCCAAGATCTCTTCAAGCCAGGGTGGATTTGAGTTAAATCAAATCAATTTAAATCACTAGTAAAAAGGCTTGATTTAAATCAACCCAATTTAAATCATAATTTTTAAAGAGCAACTGTCAACTCTGTCCCACAGTGGCGGCTCTTCTGACCCGCTGTTGACTCACCAACAGTCTCATTCACTTTAATGGGATGGCTGGTGATGGGGCAGTGACACAACAAGGTGAGGGACGTGGCAAATAGGTGAGTGGATGCCCACTAACAGACACTGCCATGATGGATCTGAAATGACAGGTGTTCTTTAATATTATATTTATAAGCTGCTTAGAAGGTTTCACTTTTATTTTTACTGCTTGCCCTTTGTTGTCACACTTAGAGCCTGGTGGTACAGATGCATTTCTCTGCAAACAATCATACATCCCCGCATGCGCCTTCCCACGCAACCCCCACGTATGTGTGGCAGAGACCTGATGACTAGATGACCA